AAAAAAAAAACAGTCATAGACCCCTTATGAGCAAGCGTTTTGGCAAAAGTGGGAAGTTAAAAATTTATTTTAACAGGAAGAAACCTCCAGCAGAACCAGGCTCAGGGAAGGGTGTTTATCTGCTGCGACTGATTGGTCTGAGGGGAGGGTTAAGACAGGGTTAAAGGCATGCTGTGTAAGACACCCAGAGAATAATCACAAGTAATAATTCAGTACTCAGTATTCAAGTGTATAAACACATAGTGAACGCACCCTGGGCCATTTGACTACAGTAAATCACCTAATACAATGGGGCTAGGTTTCACAATGGGTTCACCCAAAACTTTGGCTGATTGTGACCCCATCTTTTTTCACCCTTGGCTTGTGTGGTTAGGTAGAAGATCAATAGGGGGTTTGTCACCCTCTTGGGAGGACACTACGAAAGGGCTAAAAATCCAGGACTCTCTACCAGTCGCTCTTAGAAGTGAAGAAGCTTATCAAATGAGAGGTGAAGCGTCAACTTTTGAGGATTTACTTACCTGGATGACTGACCATGCATTAATATGTAAATCTAAGTGTGCAGATGCCTTTTTGTCACTGGTGGATCTAGAGGACAGAGCATGCGGATTGGTACATCCCCTGGAGAAGACGTATTTCACACAGCCATGGATGACCAAGTGGATTTATCCTCAGTGCACCCCAACTAGCAGACCCTTTTGTTACTTGCTTGATGATGTTGCTAGTGATGGGATTTCCGTCTCTTTTTGAGAAACGGCTCTTCAAACCCCCTCACTAAAAAGAGCCTCTTTCGGCTCTGAACAGCCTCTTCAGGTTGTTTTGTTGTTTTAATTAATTTATTATTAACAATAATGCAAAATTATGCAAAAAAAGAATTACTAATGTAAAAAAAAGTGGTTTTATTTATATTTGTTTATATATAAATATATACGGTGGCCCCTTGAGACAAAACACGTACAAACTCCAAAACACATTTCTAGCGTTAACTGAACTTCAAAACAAAACCAACTAGATCACTTAAATTACACAATTGAAAGCATATGTGTATTGTTTGTGTATTTGTACACAGGCACTCATATATAGTCAAATAATTTAAAAAAAAGTTCATTTACCTGTTACTACCACACACCAAATCCGGTCGTTGGTACTTGCTGGCTTGTGGAGCCACTAAGTAACAAAAGCTCAACACTGCGCCCAACATCCTGGAGCACTTCTGTTGTGTTTTGTACGTGTTTTCGAGTTTGTACATCCTTTGTCGCTAGAGGCCACCATAAATATACTTTTATTTATTCACTCCACATAAAATGTAATAAATAAATCATATAATACAAAAACCAACTATTCACATTTCAACTTTTAACTATTTAAATTTTCAGCTTTTTCCTTTTAAACTAATTTAAAGTGAAACAACACAAAACACTGCAAACCACAACACAATTAAATATAAATTAAAATATGAAAACAAAAAGAAGATGCATATTCTCTGTCATATGGGCCCGCATGAATAAACTTTCTGAATCCTTCATCATCTGCAACTGAAAATAGTTGTGTATGATTACTATACCTTTCTAATGTGACGTTGTTGTCCCTGGCTCTCTTTGTCTCTCTCTCTCTCCCGCTCTGTTCCTGTGTTACTGAGAGTGTAACTACTGCCCCTCCCCCCTCTTCCCAGCACAAAGCACAAGCTGCCAAATGTTACCATTGTATTAGTTATATAAACCTTGTTAAAACATTCCTTCCGCCTTCAATCTGGGTTACTGCTCTTAGGTTCCTTTCAAGTTTCTTGCCTCTGGGCCCCTCTGACAGTAATACTCCGTACATGATGGGAATCCCCGAGCAGCCTACACCTATTGCACCATAACTAATGGACGATTTAGGGCATTTAATCTCTCATCAAAGAAGTTTCTTGGTGTGCAGTCCCAGATTTTAAGCCCTTTGGGATTTTCCCCAAAATTTTCCCCATAATCACATGAGCCAATGTGTTAAAACAGGTGTAGGTCACAATCAGCCAAGGTTTTGGGTGAATCCCTTGTGAAAGCTAGCCCCACCCTATCATGTGATACTTTAATCAAATGGCCAAGGATGTGAATGGCATTAAGGTGTCTGGGAAGGGATCTCAAAACTGGATTACAGATGGCAGACAGCTGAATGCTGGAATCATTTTGGACAGAGAAGACCAAAGAAGATGGTTTAAAAGACTAGTGAAAGAAGCCATCTATGTCCACTGTTAATGACCATGTTTGAACAGAGGCAGTGGCTTATGACACCGACTGTCTGTTGT